TGCACCTGCTGGACTGCCAGCCTGTTGGCACTCCCAAGCGTAAAAAGATATCGGCCTCTCTAAAGATACCGACTTCGTGAAACACCGCACCTCAGCACAACACAGTCAAGGTCTGAGCTGTCCTTATTTGCATGTACTTATGACTTAGGCTTGCATAAAAGACCCATAAACTCTTTGGGAAAAGAACAGCTATGGATTTGGCTATTTTTATGTTCCAAGAACTTTTCTCGTTAGTTTCAAGATGACATTTTAATGAGGTTTCACTGCATAGAAAACATGGGACGATTTAACCAGCTCTGTCTGCTCCCACTCTCCCTCCCCAAACTCTTTCTGAAATGAGTTACCATTTGGGAATGAAAGCTTTTATGAGAATTTATGTCATTCATATGGCAGCATGGGTGAGAGAAAAGTCATTCAGCTGCTAAAGTTTGGCATCAGAGCTTATGCCATTCCTTCTCCTGCCCCATACTGGGTGGCAAAGCCACCTCGTTCAGACCTGTACAAGTTTCTTCAAAAGCCGGGAGCTAGTGTGTGTTTGTTTGTTTGTTTTGGAGTCACGGAGAGGGCAGCGTAAAATAGCCGCAAGGCAATTCCCGTTCAGTAAAATGGAAGTCTCACTGGCTCTTCATTCAATACAGTGTGGCTCAAGAGGATATCCTGCCAACCCAATGATAACGAGGGAAATAAAGTCACTTCCTCACCAGCTGTTTGATTCAGGTAGAAAAAGGAAGCCTTTACTTCCTCGTGTTTGCTCTCCCTGCCACCCCCTCGGTCAGAAGTGCCAGGCTGAAAATGCCTTCTCCCTCCGTATTTTCAGTAAGGAGCCATCAGATCCGTACCGCTTTGCTGGGCGCAGCCTGTGGCAAGTACGTACTTCTCCGTGGCCGAGAAGCCATGCCTTGCCTCTCAAGCAGGGGTGAAAGCTGAGCTGCAAAAGGACCGAGACTGAACAAACTCGGCTCAGTGCACGAGCAAAGAATGCCTGTGTAATTAAAGATGACATTTGTTTCTTGGATCAGAGCTGCCGAATTTGGGCCAGCGGAAGAACGGGGTAGTGTGGATGCTTTGTTTTGAGACTGCCCTGACTCAGTGCACTATTACGCCTCCTAATCCTCCGAGGGTGACAAACTCCAGTTTTGCCCTAGGCTCCCTGCAAATCCCAGGAACTTCAGCCAGGAACACGCTCTGCCCTCCGTGCATAGTCCAGCAGGCAAGAGGGCAGCACAGGATCCCCTCAAGGCAACCTTCCTGGCCTGCCAATCAAGCCCATGTAGGTAAGGCAGGTATCTCGGTGCTTTGGTACTGAGAGGAGCTTAGGCAGAGCATCTTTCCTTTCCTGACTGCCATCTTTCTTGCTTTGCAGTCAACGTGAAGTTGCATAGTAAGCCAGCAATGGACTGATCTGACTTTATACAAGCTTCTAAAGAAATTTCTTTTTTAAAACTTACAGAGCTGAATGAAGAGGTTTTTTCCATTTAATTTTTAATGGCCCCGATATAAATTTGCATCCAGGATATAATTTTCCATTAAATTTTGAATAGGTAGGTCTTAAAAGCAAGGCCTGCAACCATTTTCTTTCCAATTGTGTAAGACTTCCAGAAAGGTTGATCAAGTTAAACCACAACACCAAGCCAGAACTTGTCTCAGCCTATTTGCCAAGTGGACCCTTGCTTTAATTATAAAGAGTGCTTTTCAAAGGACATCAAGTGTTTCAAGCAATTTTCCTAATCTTATTTGTTTTAGCAGAGACTCTCTTATTTTAAACAGACCGGTTTAGGTGACAAAAATGCAGTGACAAATACATGGGTTTACAGAAGGAAACAAACCTTATGAAACAGTTGAGGTTCTGTTTAGGGTTCTCTTTGTGCTAAAATAGTTTTCAGCAACGGGTCATACTTCCCTCCCCCTCCTCTCCTTGTTTTAGTACATAAAATGGACATGTGTTTATTTAAAACAGGTTTGAAACTTAAACAAATAGTGACAGGCTGTTCAAACAAGCTTCGGAAATAGGCCTAATCAGGATGTTTGAGAAGGGGAGGGGGAATGATCATAAAGAGCTACTTGTAATATATAGTGCAGACACCATTAGGTTGGGTTCATGTTATTGTTATAATAATCTTGGGCAAAAAGTACTGCATGTTGCACATTTTTTGTTAACATTCCTCTTTTGAGCCATAGGTTATGCCATGCTTTTGCCTTGTGTTCAAGTTTTACTGTAACCCTCTGTCCATCTTCATACCCATTTCAAGGATCTGTACTGAATCATTAGAAGTGGTCTTCCAGACAAACTGGGAGGAATGTTCCTGAACTGGGATAGAAGGGAGGCACAAAATATGCTCACGTTGTTCTTGATACTGTGTACACATCAGCTGTCATGAACATACAGAAGTGAGACCTTCCCCACAGAAAGAAACTGGAAATCTTAATGTTAAAATATTTTCACATGACTTGCATTTCCATAGGTTTCTTTTCTCATTTCCTCTCTTTTCCACCCATAATAATATCACCAAGTGTTGAACTTTACCCTTGCTGTATTTTTATAAGGCCTGATCTTGAACTCCCTATACAGACAAAGCTCCTATGGAAGTCAGTGAGTCTGCACTGGCGACAACAGGATTTAGCCCAGTCTGTAACATTTTAGGATATTGTGTTACTTCATAGCCTTAAGGAGAAATAAAAGCAGCTTTCCAAAGAGCTGCACAGCTAACTTGAGTGTGCTTTTTCAGCTCTGCAACAGCAAAGGAGAATATTAAGGTTAGGGTTTGCAAATGTCTATTTCAAAAACCAGGCAGCTAAGTAAAAGTTGCCAACTTTTCTCTGAAATGACGAGTTGACATTAAAACATTCCCCCCAAAGGTTAAGCCGCTTTCACTTAACAATATACCTTTGGAAACTCAAGTTTGAAAATGATTGCGTGGAGGAACGAGCATTGAGAAATAGCAGGAGGAAGATGTATTTTCAAGTCAATTGGTTGGCCAAAGCTTATAGTTATTCTCTCACCGACTCTTACCTACTGACATCTGCTCTTACCTCCAACATGTACCAATATTACTTAATGTAGTAAAATATTTTGGAAGAAAATACCTAATATTTACTTGAATCTCACTCAGTGCCTAGTGAACAGGAGTGAAGATGGCAAAATATTAAAAAACCTTACACGCCCTCTCGTGGCAAAATCACAAATGCTCTTACTCAGACAATAACTAGAGTTGGCTAATGATGGAGGCTAATTTAACTACATAATTTATGGAAAATTAACTTGGCTGGAAGGGTTATGTTAATAATGGCA